ATTAAGTGACATGATTCATGTAAGGCCTTAGCACAGCCTGGCATGCGGTGAGCTCTCCATCAGTGTAGGTAATACTAACTTTTGACATGTTGGCAATGACCTCTCTGTGGTGAGACAGGGAGCTCCCCAAGGACCAGGGCTCCTTCCTCTGTCTCTGCCTCAGTTTCAGGAAAGAATTCTCATGAGAGCAATCAGGATGGATTGGGTGTATGACGGCTCTCTCTCCTTTCCTCTTAAAGGGATGATAAGTGACCTCTTCTTCTCTGGTGAGGACCTGAGGACAGTGACCCTTTTCTCAACATGAAGGTCACCCCGGAGGTTAGGAGTCATGGGATGAAGTTTGCTGAGGAGCAGCTGCTAAAGCACGGATGGACTCCAGGTGATCCCCATGGGTACCTTCCACATGACCCCAAATTCCCTGCCTACCCTCTGCCCAAGGGAGAGGCATCATCCTGAAATATCCCTATGCAGTCCACTCATTTGGAGGAGGGAAACTAGCTTAAAGGGAAATTTGCAGAAGAAAATTTCTGACTTTTCCAAAAAAGGGGAGAAGAGGAAGAAATTTGACAATGGGTATTAAGAAATGGTTGGGAGGACAGGGGCAGAAGGGAAGAAACACAACATCTGTCCTGAAAGAATTATAAAGGAGAAGAGCTCAGGCTCAGATAACGGCAGGGGGACTGCATGGAGAGGTGTCAGAAAGAATGGAACTCGGAGGGCTTCCGAGAGGGATAGAGTTTGCCCAGTGCTACCGGTGGCATGTGCTGGGGTGCCTGTGAGAGCTTGGGGCAGGCAGATAAGCTAAGTCACTGTCTTCTGCAGGCAAAGGCCTGGGCCGGAAGGAGAATGGCATTACCCAGGCCCTCAGGGTGACGCTAAAGCAGGACACTCATGGGGTAAGACTGGGCAGGCTGAGGGAGGTGTGGATGGGGGAGGGGGGAGCCCTTGACAGGGAGGCAGGTTCGGAGTTCATACTTCTTCCTCTGGCAGGTGGGACATGACCCTGCCAAGGAGTTCACAAACCACTGGTGGAATGAGCTCTTCAACAGAACGGCAGCCAGCTTGGTGGTGGACACTAAGCAGGTATGAGCTCTAATAGATGGGCGTGTGGAACATGAGGGCTGGGACAGGTGGCGGTGAGGGAGCAAGGGAATGTCACCCACTCACTGAAACTTCCCCACAGGACGGAGTACAGATAAGGCGCCTTTCTAAGGAGACCACCCGTCAGAATCATCCCAAGCCCAACATGCTGTATCAAAAGTTTGTGAAGGTATTAGAGGCTGGGGGTGAGAGGGTTCATCCTTTTTTTCCCCTTCCTTGGGGCCTAGACAGTTGCCTTGTATGCTCTGCATATTCTCAGGATTGTCCTAACAGTGGGATCCTGTGAGCAACCCCTTGCTGTTTCTTAGACTGCTCAGACCCTAGGCAAGAATTGTGTGTGTGTGTGTGTGGGGGGGGGGGCAGACTGCTTTCTCCCGCCTTCCTAAAATGTCACCAGTGGATGGGGGGGGGGGGGGACAGCAACAGAGTGGGTGGTAGGGCATAATCAGGAGCTGCCAGAGTTGGGCAGGGAGGGGATGTCCAATTTAAAAGACTTGGAAGTCAGAGACCTGAGAGATTATCTGGTCCATTCTTATTTTGCACATGTGGCCAATGGTGGGGCAAGAGGGGCTTGCTGAAGAGCCCACAGTTGGCTAGTAATGGCAGACAGGACTGGAACCCAGGTCTTCAGACTCCCACCTACTAAGCATATCAGTAGAAGGGAGCTAATATTTAATGGTCACCTATTATGTGCCAAGGTCTCTACATGGGATCTAGCAAATCTTTCCTATTTCTCTTCATCTCTGTGGCCATCTTCTATCCCAGACCATCATCTTCTACCTTTAACAACCTTATAAACCAGACTCATCACCTCTAATCTAACTCCCCGCTCCAATCAGTTCATCCTCCACACAGCATCCAAAGTGCTCTAAAACAAAAATTTCATTGTTTCATGGACAACTCCTTGATTTACAATGACACAGATTATCAGACTGGCTCATGTGGCCTTGTCCCTGCCACCTTCTCCAGCTCCGTCTCTTGCCACTTATCTCAGGATCTTCATACTTTAGCCAGTCGGAGTCGCTATTTTTAAGTTTTTGCACATGCTATTCCCTCTGCCTGGATTTTTCTACTCCCTTTCCTCCTTTACCTGATTTTTTTTTTGTCTCCCAGAGCTCAGCCACTTCTAGAAACTGTTTCCTAAATCCTGAAATCTGAGTGGGTACCCCTCCTGTAGCACAAACTCTCATCCTAATTGCTAATGTTCTGCCATATTCTCTTCCCCCTCACCATGTAGATTCCATCTGGGCTGGACCATCTCATTCTTTTTCCACTCTCTATCCTCAACCCTTGGCCCATAGTAGGTTCTCAATCTGGTCAAATAAAGTACTGTGCGTGGGTGTTGGGGATGGGGGGGAAAGGTGTCATCTTTATTGTCAAGATACGTGGACTATGGGATGACCACCCAGGGACACTTGTCCCACTGTGAAGACCTGATGGCCCTTTCTCCCTTCTTGTTGTGCCCGCTAGCCAGGAGGCCAGGGCTGCTCTCCCCCCACCTCCCACAGCCCTTCTGCTCAAGCTGAAGTATGCAGTTTGGTGCAGCTCTCTGTGGTCTGCAGGAGTGATATTGGGGGCTGGCAAATTTGTGCCTCTGGGTATGAATTCCTGGGGAGGCTCCCAGGAGGGAAAAGGGATAGCAGTGTTGTGTTGAGTGGGCCTTGTCCACCTCATGATTCCTCCTTCTAGACTGCCACACTGACCTCAGATGGGGAGAAGCCAGACAAGGACTTGGAAAACTGCAGTGATGATGACAACCAGGAGCCCCAGCCTTCAAAAATGTGAGACTTCATTTTAGCGCTGGGGGCAAGTAGGAGGAGATGCTGCAGATCTCAAGAGAAAGGACCAGGTCTAAAATAATGCTTGGCTGGGGCTTCTTCGGGGTGGAACTGTGCTGTACTAATCTTTGTATCTCGAAGGAATGTTTTAGAGGGGAGGAGAGGTCAAGCTTTCCCACCAGATCTGTTTGTAATTTCTGATCTCCCCCACCCCAACCCTCCACCAGTCTGACTGATGAGATGCTGCTCCAAGCCTGTGAGGGTCGAACGGCACACAAGTAAGTAGTTACTTGTTAGCTCCTGGGTCTCCCTTCTCTCCCTATCACAAGCCCACCCCTGAGGTGGCCTACACCACTTCTTGACTCCTTTTTATCCCAGGAATGTGATTCATACTACCTGCCCATATCTGAAGCTGCTTTTAAGATAGCTCCTCCCCTACCAACTTCCCCTACAGTCTCAAGAATTAGGCTTTTTCCTGATACCCACCCTCTGACTTTGGCCCTATTTCAGGGCTGCCCGTCATGGAATCACGATGAAGGCTAAGCTTGCTCGTTTGGAGGCCCAGGAGCAGGCCTTCCTGGCTCAGCTCAAAGGCCAGGATCCTGGGGTCTCTCAACTGCAGACTGAGAGCAAGCCCCTCAAAAAAAAGAAAAAGAAGCAGAAAGAGGAAGAAGAGGCTACAGCAACTGAAAGGAATGCAGACAAGGAGTATTCCAAATGTACTGACCAGAACATCAGGAAAAGCAAGAAGAAAAGACAACTTCAAGATAGGAAAGAGGGGACAACTATAGGGGATGAGGGAGAGGTCACAGAAACAGGAGGGTTTGGGGAACTAAAGAGCAGAGAACAAACTGATTCATCCCACAGGAAAAGGAAGAAAAAGAAGAGGCAGCACCATGAAGAGGAGAAGCTGGGGGTCTTAGGTAGAGGAGGAGGTAAGGGGGATGTAGGTGGTATCAGAACAGAGAAGGTAGAGAGCCAAGCACACACTGATTCACACAGCAGAAGCAAGAAGCAGCAGTGCGAGGAGGAGGAAGACTTGAATATAGAGGATAAAGAAGGTGAGGAAGCTGTTGTAGATGGTGGGACCAGGGAAGCAGAAAGCAGAGCGTGCAGTGATAAGAAACGCAGAAGCAAGAAAAGACAGCGGCATCAGGAGGAGGGTGTCGTGGACATGAGCGGTGGACATGAGGATGGCAGGACTAGGGAAGCAGAGAGCAGAGCACACCGTGGCTCAAGCAGCAGAGGTAAGAAGAGGAGGCAGCAGCAAGCAGAGGAGGAAAGAGCCACAGTCAGCACTGACCAGAAAGCAAAAAAGAAGAAACTGAAGAAGAGAGACTGAAGGTCGGGTAAGGGTAGTCCTCAATCGATTTCTTTTCCGGAGTTGTTGAGGCCTCAGAGGCCTGAGTTGATGTAGGTCTCCTGCACCCTCCCAGTGAGGGGTCCTTCCCGAGGAGGAACCAGCTCTGGATACCAGCATGCTGAGAGGAGAGCAGTAGCACCTGCCTTATTGAGGGAATGGGCTTCTTCCCCTTTGCAGCTCCTAACCCAGAGATCATGAACTCAGATGCCCACCGGAGCCAGGCAGCCAAGGGACAAGGAGTGCTTGGGGCTGTGGGAATAGGAATGCAGATACCCTTTGAAGGGGCATCCTTGCTAAAAGAAACTAAAAATGTTGATTTATGTGATATGTCCTGATTCTTAAATATTGTGAAGCTAAGGAAAACATACAAATCTCATTCTGTGAGCTGGTTTCTAACACTATGCCAAGTGAGTCAATAAACGCCAGCTTGGGCTCCTAGCCTGTATATCAGTCCTGGCTGGCATCTCCACTCCCAGCCTGGGAAGGTGCTAAATACAAATCAAGTTTCCTGGGCACCTTTGAAGACATTCCTTCTGTTAACCGCCTGGGGTCTTGCCACATTGTTGAATGGAAGGGGAAGGCTTAGAGAACCTCATCCAGTGTCCTGTGTCCCTAAGGGGTAAGAGTTGATGTGTATAAAGGACAAGCACCTCACTTGGGAGACTTTTTCAGCATCTGAAAGTCAGTATGTAGTGCCCCCAAATGCCACAGCAACTTCTCTTGCTTGTTCTTCCCCAAAGAGGACACTATCTCCAGTGTTGCTGACCACCCATTAACCTTTACTGCCAGAAGAGCTTCCAGGTCTCCACCGATCTGGGAGAGAGAGGGGCACGAAGTCTTTATTGGGAAGAACAAACGTCTACCTTCCGTCACTGCAGACGGTATACACACTCCGTGTCAGGGTATGGTGGCAGATTCAGCTGGTACTTCTTTTCCAGAGCAGGTGGTACGAAACGACCGCCCAGGTAGTGGTAGCGACCAGTGAAGTGGGTGGCAGACTTTTTAGGTGCAGTCAGGGAGATGAGCAGATCTGGCTGGATCCCTCCAGGGTTTCCCTTCTCCACATCCCATCCTGAAAAGAGGGTTGTATTCAGGAAGAGCAGAAAAGGCCACGTGTCTATCTAGTCCTCTTCCAAACCTTGCTCTACCCCAGACCTAAAGAAATGGGAGCCCCTTTAGGACTGCATCCTTGGAGCTCCCTGTGTCCCTAGGCTTAGGTCTCTTGGAGCCAACATGCAAAGGGTACTCCTGAACTCTGCTCCCAGCTGTGTTCTGCACCTCTAGACTCATTTTAGACTTGGTCTGAGCCTTGAGTCAAGGATCAGGATTCCTAGGTACCTACCTCAAAACAGGGCAGGGCCCCAATCCCAACCTCCCTGAACCCAGCACCTGAGGGAATGTCGATGCTGGCAATGGGCACGGTGAGTCCACTCAGGACGCTCAGGATGTTGCGGAATGGCTCCCGAACATCTCCCTTGAAGCTGAAGCCAAAGATGGCATCCACCACCAACTCATACAGCTCATCGATCAGCTGGGGCTGTGGTGGAGCAGGAAAAGTCAAGGATGTCAGAGCCAGCAGCTGTACAAAGAGCTCTTAATAGGAGAGGCTGTCCCCTGTACCCACAGAGGCCCAAATACAATTTTGTCTCATTCAGATGATATTCTGACACAGAGTTCAGTGCAAATGGGTCCCTGATTCAGGTCAAGCTGAGTCCAGACATCGAGTTCTGCCTGCCTGCCATTGGGGAGGCTACAGCATCAGAGAGCCTGAGACGGAGTCAGAAGGGCCATGGTCTGGTCTGTTACTTTGGACAAACCACTTATATCTATAAAATGTGTTAAATTTTTTAAAAGCCCATCAAGTTGCCCTAACTGGTTTGGCTCAGTGGATAGAGCAGGGGTGGGCAAACTTTTTGACTCGAGGGCCACAATGGGTTCTTAAACTGGACCGGAGGGCCGGAACAAAAGCATGGATGGAGTGTTTGTGTGAACTAATAT